TTACTTCGAGAAGGAAAAAAAAAAAAAAAAAATGGAAATTATAGCTTCGCGAATAATACGCGTTTATAATACGGATAATATTCATCGTTAGCTGAACCTCGTCTTTACCTTAGGATGTTAAATTTTGATAAGTAAATTCAATTATTTCTTATCGTATTGTAAAATTACGTCACTTCGTAATATGTTTTAGATGCTTCGTTATTATCTTCAATTCATTTACTTTTTATCAATCGATCGTGATTCGAGAGAATTCAACTTAATTGATATATAACTTTAATCATGTATTCGAAATTACAGAACGATAAATCAAAGAGAAGTAGAAATCAAAGAGTTTCTTCTTCTTCTTGTTCGTATTACGTAATCTCGGGGAAACTCTCTCACGGTCGATTCTTATTTTTTTTTCAACGCATAGAAAATAGCCGTTCTTTCGCGGTTGTCCCACGGCTCTTTCTCTTTCACGTTTGAAATATGTTATCTCTCGCTTGTTACGTCTTCACGCTTTGAACACTTTCTCCCTCAATTACGTGCTCCTCTCGCCCGATTTTCTATACCGCTTCCTTCTTTCTTCCTTCTCCATGTGCGCTTCATTCTATTTTAAAACACACACACGACCAGGCTTTAAAGCGGTAGTTCAACAAACGTTCTTTATTGAAACTCGTACGATATTCATTAGCTTTGTTTCACGATTATTAAATTTCTCTTCCTATTTTTTAATAAGGAATTTCAAATTAATTGCAATTTTATTATTTGAAATTTTAGCTCTTAGATAAGTAAGTTTGCGGATTTTTATTTTTTTTATATTAAATATATTTTATTTTTACGTAAGAGTTTCTGAGTAAGTATCGGGTAATTACTTTTTACAAATTTGATTAAAGGGAATATTAAAATTAAGCAAACTTTGAACAGTTATAATTTCGAAGATAACAACTTTCAATGAACCAATCAACGATCATTGAACGCGCAAAACTTTGCTCTTTAAAACGCTTTTTGAATTATCTTGATACGACTCTCGGTTTCCGAGATATCGTTGTATGAATAAAAGGATAATTTTTATTCGTTTACTCGGAATTCTCGTCTCACTGACCTATCCTAAACCTCGGACAAGTGAAAGACGCGATTTCTAGAAGGACGTGGCACACATTTCCAGGAAAAAATGTAGGTCAGTGAGACGATCAGATCCATTCATAATTTCTGTACTGCATTGTAAACACATTTATGAATACTTTGAATCATTATATCTCGACAACCGATCGAGATATCGGAATGAACCAAAAATAAACTTCAATGATATAGTTTCTTCTATTTTTGAGTACTATCTTTAAATGATGTATAATATTTTCTCTTAATTAAATATGTTTTAATTGCATAAAAATCTACAATCTAATAATAAATGAAGAATTAATTCGTTAAATGTTAAACAATATTTGTTTTAAAATTTATATGATACACGAAAGTTCACAGCGGAAGAAATTAGATAGATAGTTACCACATGAACGACTTAATTATATCTTTCAAAGTTACATAAACAGAGTTTTTACATCTCTCTCTCTTTTTTTACTTTAATATAAATGCTAACAAGTCGAATAACAGAGGAAGCTTTGTTATAACTTGGTGAACATTTTAATACAAAATTTTTTGCTTGTTAATTATGTCGCGTTCACTTTTTACCGACCACTTTTTACCGTGGGTACTTTTTCTTTCTTTCTTTCTTTCTTTTTTTTTCTTCTTCTTTTTTTTATCGCGTTACACATTCCTGAGACACGTTTGCTTTTCAGTTGAAAAGAAGGACAAATCCGGAAGGTGAAATTAACGGCCGTGCCGCCCGCGCCGCGGCCTTTTGGGGCCGCGTGTCGACGTTTATACCAACAATCTCGGTTTTAGTTCCGCTCTTTTTCAGCCCGGCTCGAAATTTAATTCGTAACTATCTAATTACGTCGCGACGCGGGATCTAATTAAGTTGCAATTACGAAACCTAATTACGTTGCGATATTTAATTACAGAAAATTGGCGGACCAACGATCGCGCGAGATTTCTCTAATAACCGTACGTTATTTTAAAAAAAGAATATTTATTAATCTCTCTAAATATCTACAAATATACATTTAATACAAATTTTAAAAAAATTTCGAACCTGGTCAATTTCCAGACGTCCCTAGCCTAGTGAAAAAGTTTGCTCGGACCACCAGCAGGATAACCAAGCGCGCGGTAAAAAGAACTCCTCTTGTGTTAAGAGGTTAACGAGCGGCGTCGACCACCCGCTGGTGATCGACCACGTCGCGGCACCGTGGAAAAAGAAGGGAGGGAGAAAAAAGCAGCGGCATCGACTTCGAAGGGGGAAACAAAAAGGGGGCGAGATTCGCAAGCAACCCCTGCCTGGCCAGTCTGACTACCTAGGTAAGTGCATCGCATCCTTTCGTACGTATCCTCCGATCACGAGCCTCTCTTCCCACCCACGCGTANCGCCGTGTGTACGCGCCGCGCCTATTTATCGCCGCGAGCATGGAAGCCTAACGGCCAGCCTTAACCCTTCACTTTCCAACCGTTTAATTGCACGATTCGCATGCATCGGCCCCGCCGATCAACCGCGCCGATAGAAAGGAGACAAAGTTCAAGACCGCGTAGAGGCTTCGAGCAGAGAGATCGGGGAGGAGAACGCTCGTAGAAGGAAGTCCTCCGGGGAAACGGCCGCCGCGTGACCTCTGCCCCGAATAAACGAATCGACCCGGCCCGGACACACCGCCTCCGTGCAACTATGTTGCAATCTCGGTTGCAATCCGCCGTACAGCCGTGCAGTAATAATAACAATAATTATCGGGCTACCGCGTGCCGGTGATGTTAATTGTATGCCTGCCCTCTTCCACTCTCTGAAAACTGCTCGAGAGATTTTTATTTTCGATCTCCGAGAGAGATTCCAGCTACGATGCTATTAGGGTAACCGCGTGCTTGTCTTTTTATCCGTTGAGAAGATTTTTCTTTTACTTTTTTTTAACCCTTTCGCTACGACCGATTTCGTCGAAAATGTGCACAGTACTCGAGAAAGATCGTTTACGGCTTTTCGGTTTTTTTTTGGTGATTTTTATTATGGAAGAGAAACAAATGATAAAAATAGAATACAGAGAAAGGATGTACTCGATGTAACGATAACTCGAATCGCTCGTCGATACGCGGTATTTTATGGAGAGCGACTGTAGTTAAGGAAAAGGTTAGGATTCGTTCGCCTGTGAAGAACGAGAAAAAATTGGAATTGTTTCGTAATTTTGAAGTGGAGAGTGAAAATGGTGAATTTGATCGAATACGTTGAATACGTTGTCGAGAAATTACAAAGTTTCGATAGCGGTGTTGTGTTAGCGATCAAATATCGGACGGGCGTCAGCTTTGTCCACGGCCATCTCCGCGGAAGATAAATCGTGGTCGATAATCGTGGTGGAAGTCGGTGCGTTGTTGTCGAGAAATGTGTATCTAGGACGATTACTTCGAGGAAAATTGGTTGACTTTGAAATTCTGCTTGGAATCTGTTCATCCGTGAAAAGGAATCGATACTCCCGTAGACGAGAACTCGTGGGAATAGGGATTGATGAAACGTTTCTCGGATGTGGAAGTGCAAGCTGCACTTTCACAATGAAGATGTTTTAGATGAAAGTTACGTGAAAGTTAGAAAAGAAAAGGGAATAGATTCCTTTCCAAAGATCGGTAATAAATTTGAATAACCTCCCGAACCTTTCTT